CAGAAAATAATTCGGAGGCTCAATCACAGCCGTTTAAAGTTTGAAAGTCAATCATTAGTTACTAGGGATTCATCGGCAATAGCCTTATGACACATCACAAATCACGAAATTTCAAATTTCGGTGCTCTCGTGCATCACACATTATGAAAATCGTTTTGAAGACCCAAAGAGTATCCGACAGAATCGGAGATTAACAAGGGTGGACCACTAGCAAAGCAGCTAGAGTAAAACAGTATTCAGAATTCAGGATGTCCCTCTCTACGGCAACAGCACATTCGTCTCTCTACGCAACAAATTTCGAAGTCTACGTGGTAAGACGAAACGATGTTCTTTCGGGTGTCATGCAACGAGGGAAGAGAGTTTGCTTATGCTTAATAAAGAGCCACTTCTCTCTCTGTCCAGCAACCGATTCCTTTCGTGAATGAATATCAGCCACAGTTAACGATCATATCGAGATGGTACACTGGAATCGATGGAAAATGTTTGTTGTTGAATTCTCCATGTATAGTGAGAGGAAAACTAACATTTTCTGGCTCTTGTCTATTTGTAATCTGCTAGAACAAAGCGGACTTTAAATTCAACGCGGCTCATTTTGTAGCCTTCCAAGGATTTCGAGAACGACTACACGGTCATAACTACACTGTGGGTGTGAGGTTATTGGGATCACGTAAAATTTGTCACGATGGTTATGTTTTGGACTTTGGGGACGTGAAAAAGGTCGTAAAAGCTGTTTGCAAGAAACTCAACGAACGTTTTCTGTGTCCGACGAAATCAGATGTCATTGATACGCAGATAGTAGATACAGAGAACGACGGTAGAAAATCTGTTGTTCTTACATGCGAAGATGGATCAAGATTTGTTATTCCACTTGATGACTGTGCAATGATACCGATTGTGCACGCCACTGTTGAGGAATTAGCCATATACACATGGGGAGAGATCCTAGATGGACTTGATCCAGAACTATTACGGCGGCGAGGAATTCATACAATGGAAGTTGTTATGGCAGAAGCCCCTGGACAGGAAGCTGTGTTTCGACTTGAGATACCGGAAACAAAGAATGGAGAGAAATTCAGATTAGATGTCCCGAGCTTCATAAACAGTGGCGAGATTGAACTCAAACCCAAGCCTTGTTTCGGGCAAGAAGGAATATCAGAGACAAGAAATAAAGCAAAATTATCTGACACAGGTCCCGGTAGCAGGAGTGTTACACCTAAAAATACTGCAGCCGATGGCCACGCTAACTGTGAAGACTGTGGACTGGCTTCATTTTCAAAACAACTTGAAGCACTTGCCTCGGCTCTTAACAATAGAGGGCCCCTGGACGATGAGCTCACTGCAGATGATTTACGATCTTTGCTAGAGAAAGAATGAAGTTCTTTGTAATTTTTCGAAACAAAACTTCTCGAATTACATATCTAGGAAGCAAACATTATTTCACCATAGTACAGTAGTGATTGGTTCAAATCAATGGACAGCCCCGGCGAAAGATTGCCATCATTTAACATAGATGTCCCACAAATGACAAAGTATCGCTTATTCCTTCTTTGCTTTTGGCGCTGACTTCTTCTTCGAGGCCAAAGAGTATCCAAAGGTTCCTCCGATGGCAATGGCAGATCCCAAAACAGTGTTTCGTTCCATGGGCTCTTGGAAGACAATGGTAGAGACAACGATAATGATAACACGCTTTGCAGTGTTCAAAACAGAAGATGTGACGGCTCCAACGGCTGCGGTGAAAGCAAAGGCGAACTCGTTGTAGATGTAGAAAAATAATCCCGAAAGAGCAATGTTCATTACGAGAGGCTGAAATCCGTGTTCTTCAACAGCCTTGTTCCATTCGACATCCAAGGTAGGAAGTTCCTGAACAACAACAAAGGGAACGGTGCACAAGAAGGAGATAATATTCATGACAGCGTAGACATTTGCGGAGTCCATGTTCTTTTCTGGGTTGCCCTTGAGCTCCTTGGTGACGCCAGATCCAAGTTTTCCCTTGAAAGCAGCGGCAATGTTGGCCATCGATGCCCACATGAAAGCAGTGACGTTGATATCAATACCCTTGCCTTCCTTGACACAAGCGAGACCCACTCCACCAACAATTGGGATTAGCATGGCGTAGGCCAACATTGGCTTTATGTCGACCGGTCGAACGAGCAAACCGACAACGGCTGCAAAGGCAGGTTCGCAGGCCTTAACAATTTGAGCAAAGGAAACAGCGCCAACAGCGGATGCAAGAACGGATCCAGCGTGACCCAAGCAAGCGCACATACCGATAGGGATGCAATTGGCGATATCTTTGCTGGTTAGGTTCGGTTTCTTACGCATACCGGTTCCCCACATGACCAAACTCCAAACAATCCCAACAACCAACTGAGCACAGGCAACAAACCAGTGGGCATGGATCATGTTGGTTGCCTTCTTGTTGAAGACATTGTAAAAAGTGTTGCCAGCGTACCATGCTACAACAAGCATAGCCTACCAATATAATATCACGTTCGACGAGAATTCAATAGGATTTCATAGCATTCGTATTTTCCCAAAATGACCGTGTGAAAATTCAGAATAACACATTTCGAATCAAAGAGCGTCAATCACAGAATCCATCATCCGCAAACATTGGCGGACAGAAAGTTCAAGTAAATGCGATGAGCTACACAGTGTCAAATAAAATAAGGCTTGACAGCACTTCAATTCTTCAGGCTTGTCAACGTTGATAACGATTTTCCAGTAATGAGCAAACGCCGACCCAATTCTTTTGGCGGATCACTCAAAAGAGGTCGTCGGCATCCTATCTATCTGTATCACTTACAAGCTTGGCAGGAGACGGAGAATTCTCTTTAGCAGGAGCGGCCATTTTGAAAAGTGTATTATTGTATCTCTCTACAATTGACGGATTTGATTTGTATCCTGTCGATATCCGAAACAGCTTTCGACTGCAATCTTGGAGTTGATCGAGACCATGATTGGCTTGCCGAGAATGATTTTTAACAACGGTCGCTTTCCTTAAGTTGGTGTAAAACTGCTACCGGTATTTACCTTTCGGATGATTAGATCGAGATTAGCGATTGTTGAACACGTGGCACTGATGTATCCAATCAGGTGCGACGGATGATTGAAGATGATTCATTCGACTCAGAATCATAAAAAAAAAAATTCCGTTCCCTACGGTACGTACCGTACCTCGTACCGTACGCAGCGACGAAAATGCAAATTTGCATTTAAGTACAAATTTAGTCCCTTACGTGTTAAATGCATGTAATAAACTGCACAATCTACAGTGCAAACTTAATTGTGGTGTAAAAAAGGATCTAAGCAACCAATAAAGACCTAGTTTTTTGTAGAATTCATCTTAACATTCTAATGAACATGTTGGGTTCAGTGGGTAGTTGGGCCATACAATTTTTATACTGAAACTTATGATTAGCTAGTAGTACTAGAACACTTGTTGTTCGTCGGTGTGACGTAATACATAGTAACGACTAGTACTGAAACTACTGGTATAAGTAGGAGGTCCTAGTAGTACTACTACTAGTACTAGTACTAGGAGCCACCCCAAGTAGTATTACTAGTGCTAGTGCTAGCAGTGCTAGTATCAGGAGTATTACTAGTACTACTACAACAACTAGTACTAGCTAGTATGATGTACAGCTTGGTTTCTAGTGACAATGAGGGATATGTATTACTAATAGTTAGCCCTAGTACTAGTACCCCCTATAGTAGTACTAGTACTACTACTAGTACTACTAGTACTAGTAGTACTACTACTAGTACTACTAGTAGTAGTATTTCTAGTCATGCTAGTGCTAGTAGTGCTAGTAGCAGGAGTATTACTACTACTACTACAACTAGTACCATACACAGCTTAGTTTCTAGTGACAATGAGGAATATGTATTACTAATAGCTAGTACAATAGTTGGTAATAGTATAAATAGTATTGTTTAGTATTCTAGTACTAGTACTAGTTAGTTTTATCCATAATATTTCAACTCCCATTCACCAGTTGGATTTTGAGTGATATTGCCTGATGGTTTGAGAGCAATAGCATACTTCTTCAAAGAGATAACATAGATATCTTGGAACATCCCTTTCCTCCCTTCCACCTCATTGGCAAGAATGCTCCTGTCTGGATACCACTTGTAAAGTCTCCTTTGCTGAGATAGAGGCTTCCTCAAAAAAGAATCTGCTTTGTGACTCTTCATTCTTTCACCAAACTCCTGTTCAGACATACCTGCTCTTATGAGAGTCCCTCTAGTAGTAGAATCTTCAAACAGGTAGCTGCCATTCCATTTCATCTCTTCTGGAACAACTTTTTGGAAAGCATTCATGTCACTGGATAGGTAGCTCTCATGACAACCCCTGAGCTCCAGGTTTTGGGCAGTATGGCCAGAGAGGACTACCAAGACAGAAATTCTAKGGATATGCCTAGCAAGTGAATCCCAGTGCTGAAAGTGTTTTCCAGGATGGAGGTCAATTCTATTCACTGGAACTCTTTCAGTCACAAAGCCTGGGAGTCTTCCCTGTACCTTCTCTGCAAAAATATGAGYTGCTGAGTTGACACTGTCCATATCAGTTGTCAAGGGCAGTCTCCCAACTGAGGCAATCACTCTTGCTGATGCTTTACATCATTCCTTGGTGGCCTTGAAGGTCTCATGAACAGATGAGGCTTGAAAGGAAACAACATGGGGTTTAGGAATCACAGCTGTTGGAAGCTCAACTGGAGGAATAGTTGGAGGTTCAGCAATGGRCTGAGTGGAAGATMACTCCTTCACCAATTGGATGAGAAATTTCCCCTTGGTCTTGGTGCACACCCTCCCCTCGCAGACACTTTTCACTGTACCCTTTGCAGGTGTTTTCCAAGGTTCCAGGAGGTTTTCCTGGGTCCTAATCCTCACAAAAGCATCCAACAGTGGAGTCTTTGCTGCTTTTGCAATCACATCAAGTGGGACATCTGAAATCAACTCAATCCTTGAATCAKGAGGGAGTCCTGCTTTCTCAAGAAGGAGTCTAGAATATTCTTCTGCTTGGCCAAAAAGTATATTTGCCTCTTGAAGTTTTCTTACCCTTGAGTTCCTTGCATCATCTAGAGTCTTGATTGCATCATCATTCCTCCTCTTCAAGACTTCACTGGTGATGATGGGTTGTGATCTGCCAAAGACCAAAGACTGACTTGTCAATCTCCAGATATTGCCATCACAATCCTGGTCCAATGGATAACCTAGTGAATCAAAGAAATCCTCAGATATTCTTCCTCTAGTATACATCTCAGTAGTGCACTGAAGAAGTGTATCCATCATATTGAGTGCTTGATCTAGGAGGTCAACCACTTTACCAACTCCCTTTCTCATCAATTTGATCTTCAGAGGCAACTTCATCAGTCTCTTTTTTCACCACTGGCAACAATAGAAAGAACTTCATCCAGGAAGAGGGAAAGGTTGGTGAGGATGGTCTTTCCTTCAATGATGCTCTGGATCTTGAGCTGTTGTTTTGTTCCTGTGGTTGGCATTGTTGTTGTATAATTGATTCCCACTGGTGCTGGTCCGCTTGTCGCTCTCGTGCTGGTCCGGTAGTCTCTTGTTGTTCTAATCGATGGATAGTCGAATCTTATTCTGCTGTGTCTGATGATGATTTAGAGCCAAAAAAWTTTGTAATCCGAGCTCTGGAACTATATTTATGGTCCAAACAGTGTGGGGGGTGAAAATCCACTGAAAAGTATTCCACCATAGGGCTCTCTGTATCAATTCACTGGCGCTGGTCCTCTATATGCTCCTTTGAATCAATGGATAGTCGAATCTTATTCTCCTGTGTCTGCTGATGATTTAGAGCCAAAAATATTGTAATCTGAGCTCTGGAACTATAGATACGGTCCAAACAGTGTGGGGGGTTCAAATCCACTCAAAAATATTCCGCCACAGGGCTCTCTGTATCAAATCGCTGGCGCTGCTATCAAATTAAACTGCCTGGTCAATCCAACAATTTATTCCTATCTCTTAGGTGATAAAGATAATGTCTGCAAAAAATTGTATTCAAATCTGATGTCTACTTTGAGAAATAGAGTGGCTAGCTGCTAGTAGCATGGGGGAGTGTGTGTAATGGTTGTTTGTGAAGAAAAAAATCAGGATTGGATGATGGCACTTTTGTGTGGGGATTTACTAGGGAGCCGGCCTGAATTCAAAATTAATTTCCCCCCCTCATTCAATTTTTTTCCCTCCAGAGAAAAAAAAATTAAAAAGTTGCAATTTCGTCGAGTTGCATTTTTGTCCCTGCGTAGTTCCCTATGCAAGGGAGAAAATGCAAATTTGCATTTAAGTACAAATTTAGTCCCTTACGTGTTAAATGCATGCAATAAACTGCCCAATCTACAGAGCAAATGTAATTGTAGTGTAAAATAGCAACTAAAGATCAGATCAAGACCTAGTTTTTGGTAGAATTTATCTTAACATCCTAATGAACATGTTGGGTTCAGTGGGTAGATGGGTTATACAATTTTTATGCTGAAACTACTGGTATAAGTAGGAGGTCCTAGTAGTATCAGTAGTAGTACTAGTAGTAGTACTAATTTGCATTAAAGTACAAATTTAGTCCTTTACTTGTTAAATACGTAGTTTTTGGTAGAAAAGTTGCAATTTCTCCCAGTTGCATTTTCTCCCTTGCATAGTTCCGTAGTACCGTAGAATCTGAAGGTGAGAACTTCGAATGCCCTACTAGTACCGTACAAATTCTAATACTAGAAGTAACGAGTACAATACGGAGACATCTTTTGTCTTTTTCCTGCTACTAAATGCTGAAAGAATAAGCATCTAAAAACAAAACTATGGTGGTGAGCTCAATCAATCATGAATCTGACCATTCCATCACTATTGCAACATTTCCAAAAAAACTACTACTAGCTTTGTAAAAAGTATTATTACTACCACCAGTACTAGTACACCCCCCTGTACTACTCCTATGACAAGTACGGTACTACTAGGTACTACTTGTAGTACTACAGCAAGAAGTAATAGCACAAGAACAACAAGAAGTTGTTCCTAGTAACTTGTTCTTTCACCAATGATTGGCGAAGTTAAAACTTCAGTTTGAAGCTTTATTCCAGAAGCAGCCAGTTTTTCTACTATATATTAAATTCCTATGAAATATGTACTAAAAGTACTACTTCTAGTAGTACTAGTAGTAGTAACAACAATACTACTAGTGCTAGTAAGTTGTTTATGTAAATAAGGAGAGGAAAGTAGTATGCACTATGACTAGCAGTACTAGTACTACTGCTATGCCCTCACATGTGATGTTCTACAACTACTAGTACTAGTACCTACTACTACTACTAGTAACACCAGCAAAAATGCCCCCCCAAAAAAAAAATGTATCCAATTCCAAAATTAGATTAGTACCAGCACTAGTAGTTCTGGTTGACAATCCCATCTTCTTGGTGACAACTACTTTATTGTAGTATAGGAGGCTCAGCCACTAAAAAAAGACTATTCAATCCTACACCATTTACAGCCCCAAATAGATTTATATGATCAATGATGCCCTATCCTGTAGTAGGCATGGCTATGTTTTTCTGGCCAAAATAATTACATTTTATTATTTTAGATATTCATCGCACAATACCTTTCAATACTCCTTAACCCCCTATAACCCCCCACATGACTAGAAAGGTCTTTTTACTGGTGGGATTTGATTCATGTGCTTATCATTGTTAAGTGTCCGTTGGGGACGAAGTTATGCTGTCCTTGGGATGTCAGATTGTGGGTATGATTCATATCTATGACACACACATATTAAAAATACCTATGATTCATACACACTATATATATGACTCACTCCATCCTATGGATCCATATAATCGACATGACTCAGTTGATTCACTTGCGTGACTGTGCACAAGATTAYGTGTACTCTTAGTAGTAAGTGCTGTTAAGTGTGTATGAAAATTGAATTATAAGATTAAGATTATTGTGTTTTGACGTGAGCTTTCAGAAGCTCCGATTAGATCCTGTGTAGCTCTTGGTACTGAATCTACACAGGATTCTTATTATTCTGATATATTG